AATAATCTCTAAAAATCCACGTTAGTAGCCCTGGCAGTTCTTGATAAAATAGCCTTAAAATAGGTCTGCTGCACCTTGGAAAAATAATCTCAAAAAAATACCACAATTATAGCACCACATTTATAGCTCAGGTAGTCATTTATCGGTCTCCTTGTCCCAGGGAAAATATTCCTTAAAAGTTCCTATTTTGTAGCTCAGATATTCTCTTTCATTTTCACTTTAATTAGAAATAGTTGTCAATGATTTTTTGTTTCCATCCAAAACCAATCTTGGCGATCGTTTTTTTTTTCTGTCAATACCCCCCAAGTCTTTAAGTGAAGAGTCGAAAATCCCCAAAAAAGAAACTTTTACCTGCTGATCTCTCTATAGAGAAAAAAATGAAACGAAACAAAAAAACATGACTCCTAATTGACTTTAGACATCGTCTTCTACGACGTCGTTGTTGCCGTCGTCGTAATGTGAAAATGAAACTCGTGTTTCGTTATTTGGCATTTGGTGTTCTTTAAGTGTTAAATTTACGCTTAAAAGATTTAGGTGAGATCCGATGTACTTTGTTAGAAGCAGCAGCAGCAACAACAACAAACGCCAAACACAACAACAGCCCCAAAACAACACAGACATCAAAGATTGGGGAAAGAAACGAAAACGACAAGCAGAAAAATCGAATCGAAAACCGATAAAATTTGAGGATCTAAACATGTTTGTGACCTAGAGGCTTATTACCAACCAAACCAAGCACTGGGTACAACCACAACAACAACAACGACGACGACAGATGACGCTGATGATGGTGACTATGACTTCGACGTTGTGTCAGTTCTTAAAGATATAAACATGAATGTCGCATTGGTTTCTACAGCTGTCAGGCAGTCAGAGAGACAGACCAAACGACAGACAGATTGTTTTTCTTTTTCGAAGTAATTTCTCCTGTTTTTTTTCGTCCATTTTTTTGGTTACTTTGCCCCCATGGACAAAGATGGAATTCCTGTCTAGAATTTTTTTTTTTTGTTATTTTGAAAGTTTCTTCTTCGGTGGTTAAGTTTTTTTTTGCCTTTTGGACTTGTCGCTCTAAGTTTTATTAATGAAAGAAAGTTTAAGTCATTTGTTGTTGGTTGGTTTTTTTGCATTACAACATTTATCACAGCACAATAAAATCTAAAGCCTGTCTGTCTATTAAAAGTGGTGGGAAATTTGAGATCTGCTGATGCCTCGGGGCTATTTTTAGAATTCAAGTAAATATTGGAGGATTCTTGCAAGAGGGGAAGAGAAATCAAGAATTATGGTTTGAGACAAGTGTACTGGAATAGATTTCACCAAATCTTAAAAATTTGTATTGAATTTGAGAAAGAGAAAATGGGGATATTTGCCAAAAAAAAGGCATCAATCTTTGAAGACGATCTGATGAGTTTTAAAAGGTCTTGACTGCTTGTAGGTCTTCTCGTCGAAATTCAAATGATGAAAATAAAAAATCCCTCAAACAAGTGAAATAGTATCAGTCGGTATTGCCGACAGATGTACACTCCCAGCCTTGAGTTATGATTGTTCTAACTGTTGACCCTTTATGGAGGAGTTTCCGAAGCGTTGGTCAATATTGTCCAATTCGTATCTGACCTAAGACTGATATAAATATTACAAAGTGCCATATATGGACTATATCGTCTACTTCCTATACTTGATATGAAATATGTGCAGTTTTTTGAAAGATGTGGAAATATGCGTGAGGTACCGATATAACGGACTGAAATGGTACGTTTAAAATTTAAAGGAAATCGCACATACAGGGTAGGATAAAAAACTGTAACAAAGTCAAGCGACATAATTTTTAACATTTTGTTCAAATTTTATTGAAAACAAAAATTTTATTGAACAAAAAATGTCGGAAATAGCATTAGTGTTGATCACCTCAAGCAAGCGATTCGCCGGGAATGGGACAAAATACCGCAGAGCAATATTTGGGCAGCGTGTGACGGTTTCATTGGACGTTGAAGGTCATAATTCGTGCCAAAGGTGACTTATTCGAACAAATCTAAACTTATTCTAAAATTTGATGCCATTTCCGAAATTTTTTTGCTTTTATTCAATAAAATTAAAAAAATTGACTTTTATTTTTTTATCCCATCATGTCCTCTTACATAGCGGCTATACCAAGGACTCAAATGGATCAACATTTTGTCTTAAGCCATTTTAGTACTGAAAATGCACAATTTGTTTAGTTTGAAAACACTTTTTAATCAGATCTTCATACATCGTATTTAATTTTCAGACTATCAAGGTCTTATATATCATTCAAGTTTTTTTATACCCTACAACACTATGTGTTGGGGGTATTATAAGTTTGATTGGGCCAAAAATTATGTAACACCTCGAAATATTGGTTTCCCACATAGGAAAATATATATGGATCTATCTTCCTATCTCGCCGAGCTGTGTCGATCTAGCTATGTATGTCCGTCCGTCTGTCCATGTTAATTTGTAATCACTCTACAGGTCGCAGTTATGGCCCGATCTTTACGAAATTTAGAATGGAGATGGGGTTAAGGTCAGAATAGAACCCTATTTCTTTTGGAGATGATCGCATAATATTTAGGGGTCGAAATGGACCAAAAACTGAAAAAAATCCTGATTTTGCAGTTGCTCTACAGGTCGCTATTATAGACCAATCGACGCGGAAATTAGCATGGGGCTAAAGCTTCGGGCTGGGCGGAAGCCTTCCAATTTTGATGGTCATCGGGTAATATTTAGTGGGTGAAAAAGACTATAACATTTGTGTTAAATAAAAGTAAAATTTCCGTTAAACCGCGAATATTTTTAATCCCGGCGAAATCACAAATAGACGAACAGGTCAATTCTGCGTTGATGCCGATAGTAAATATATCGGATATATATGCGAAATATATGCAATATATATACAAAGGAAAGGGATGTTAGCTAGAATGCTTATATCTCAAGAATAGCTGGACCGATTTTGACAAATTTTGTCAATTCAGAATGCCCTCTTGGCATAAAGCATCAAAATCTAAAAAATATCGCATAAAAAGATGTCAATAATGATGTTAATATAGATTTTGTAGTATTTTATTTTCTATAGCATGCGATTTTTTCAATTTGACTTATAATATTGAAGTGTATATTTTGTATTATTTTTTTCACATTACAACACAGGTTAGGGTTATTATAAACAGATTGCAATCATCGTCCGATCTTCACAAAAATTGTCAAAAAGGGTTGGGTTAGGCTCAGAAGGGCTACCTAAGTTTTCAAAGATGTCTGCAATATATTTAGAGGTTGAAATGGGTCAACAACTAAAAATATTCCTGATTTTGCACCCATTATAAAGGTCCCAAATAAAAACCAAAGGACATGAAATCTCGCATGAAGTTGGAGTTTAGCACAGCAGGTAGAATGGACCACCACTTTTGTGTGAAAAAATGAACCAAAAACACAAAAATATTCCTGATAACACAATTGAAGCCAATCGAAATGCCTAATAAGATAGTTAAGGACAGGGAAGAATTCTTGCATTTTGGATGACCATTGGATTATAGTTAGATGTAAAATGGACCACAACAACTAACAGCACGACGGAGCGCCTAAATATTGGGAAAATGTCCCAGGTCAAAATGCTAAGGATAATATCTGGTCAGTGCTTCGTGACATAATTTTAAAAGCAAAATCTTCCAAAATGGATGTGGACATAAGTGGGCATGATTGGCCCCAATTCTGTACCATTTAGTATTTTTCGTACAAATATTACCATCGGTAATCTAAATATCAAATTTCAGAATTTTATCTCTATCCCTTAACCTAATAACAAATATAGTTCCATTCAGTACTTTTGGTACATCTATAGTACACATTTCCGAAACCATCTTCATATATCCAGACTGCACAAATGCTACCATTTTGGGAGTTAATACCATTTCGGAACTTTTTGTAACCAAAAGTTTGTATTTCCGAAAACTCTTTGGTACATCTATCCGACACTTCATCAGGGACTCTCATTCCAAATTTCAGAATTCTTGCTCATTCCGAATACAAAGTATTCAATTTTTCGTACCCATTTAGTACTAATTAAAAAAAATAATCCTTTCGTACACCTACACACCAAGACTGACCCTCATGAAAAATTTCAAGATTCTAAGATCAGCTGTTTCGTCTGGGTTTTGATTCTTGGTCAGTATCTAGTGTTAAAGTAAAATTTATTGTTCGGAGGTATTCTGAGATCTTTAGTCGATGTTTATAACAACTTATGTTATCGAGTATTTTGCCTTGCTAGATTCTGTTAAAATGGAGTTTCTATTTTTCTGTTATTATTATTTATTTATTTATTTTTTGAACAGAAAAGTACCAATTGCACCACAGTAAGTTAAGTGGATCCGGGTCTAGCCCGGAACTTTCGGATGAAAAATGTGGGGTCCCGGGTCCGCCCCCGAGAAAAAATTAGTTTCCCGGGATCAAGGTAAAAATACATACCACTGGATAAAATTTAAAAAAATTAAAGAGTTTTTACTAAACTAAAGTTAAGCCAAAAAAAATTAGTAACAAGTCTTTTTTCGGAACTTTTTTCTCCCCAATGACATTGAAAGTTGCAAATCCAACTTTTTAATTTATTTCACCCAATTCCAGAAAATCAAATGGGTTTTGGGTTTGCTACCCAGGCCGAGAATTTCAAAATTGTTCATCTATGGACACATCTTTAAAGCTTTTTTTGGGACGTACCATAAAGATTGGACCCCCACTCTTTCTATTCATGTGGTTTAGTGTATGAAAATCAGTAATAACATTTCAATATGTTTGAATAATTTTCCTGTCAGATAATTCAAAATTTCCTTAAAATGGTTCTAAACTGCAAAACATATCCTTAGAAAACAGAATTACTTTCTGATATTTAATTGTTAATTTTTTTTCGCAAAAAAAATCTGTAAACTACACATTTGTCATATTTTGATAATTTTTAAATTACTTTAAATTTTATGAGTCCAATTTTCGTACTCCCTTACCTTCAAACCATAAGCAATTATTGTTGTAATCCAAAATATGATGCTGGAATCCAAAGAAAAAACGCACTCCACAATGCTTTGTTTTTAATATTTCAAATTAATTATTTTTTCGTAGATAGGTATTTCCAAATACGTTAAAATCAAACAAATTCAATCACTTCAAAAATAAAATCAATTCTTTTGTGGACACATTAAGACAACCATAAAAGCAACATCAAACAAGCCGAGACATGATTAAAGACTTCTTTTTTTTTTCTTTTCTTGCAGCAAAAGCAACAGCAGTAGTTATAAAACAAAAGGTAAAATCAAATACTACACTGAACTTTTCAATATTTTTGGTTTCTTCTATATGTTGTTGTTGTTGCTGCTTTTAATTCAAAAAAAAAAAAAAATGAACAGATATTTCCATTTGGTAAACTAACAATTTTCCCAGATTGATATTCTCTTTCGAAACAAAATAAATGTTTTGGTTTTTCTTGCCAAGAAGAAAATAACAAATAAATAAACACAAACACTGGTGAATGAGAAAATGAGGAAATCTCAAACAACTCGTTAAGCGTTGATTTTGCACGACTTTATTGCACGACCGCCAACACTTGACTGTCATAAAAGACCCCAACTAGCTGCGGACAAAGTCAAGAGCTAAAGAAACAAACACAAGTTACAGCGGCGCCAGCAGAGCAGCACTCACTCAGCCAACTGCAGCTGAGAAGGAGAACAGAGAAATATTACTCTCAAACCCCCCTCATTTTAAACTCCATTGAGTTTATGATCTCAATGGAGTTGTTGTAATGAGAGAAAAAAAAACGGCTTGGGTGATGACCGAGGGTATCCCCCACAATCGACAGTCCAACAGTCAGGCCATCGATTGACGACAAGCAAGCAAGCAGTACTGGTGCTACAAAATATCAACTTACAAAACTGGCTTTAAGAAAAACAACGTCAACAACGTTAGCCCAGCTCTGCCACCAGTTGTGGCAGCAACAGCATCTTTGAATGTGCGGAAGACAATAACAACGACAACAAATAAATAATAACATTTCTCTTCTCAGTTGGGGGAGAGTAAGCCTGTCTTCAACTCCGACTTAGGTTTGTTGTTATAATAATAACAACAACAACAAACAAAGCTATTAAAAGTAACAAAAAATCAATTTTTAAATAAATAACCGTCAGAAGAGTTGGCAGGGAGAACCAATGACAAACAATCTCAGAGAGAGAGTTTTATTTGTGTGAGGGAGCTTAATTAAAGAACTATTATGTTTTGTTTGTTTTTTTTTTAATGGGTGAGAGGGTGTCATGCATTTACTCTCCATTAAAGGATGGGAGCGTATCACTTTGTTGGCAATACAACGAAATTATTTGTCGGGTGCAATTGAACTAAAGGCGATGTCAGCAAAAAATTGGGGAATTGGGAATAACCCATTAAAAGGGTTATTCCTAAATGGATGATTCCAAAAAAAGTTAAAAATTATCAGTCGGTTTTGCCGACAGATGTATCCCTCAGCCAATGTTTGATTATTGAATATATTTTTACAACTGTTATGGTTATTCAAATTTACGACCCTCTATGGAGTAGGTGCCAAAAGAATAGGCTAATATTGTCCATTTTGTATTGGACCTAACTAAATATCATATAAATATTGCGGAGAGCCAGGTTTGGACTAAATTGGTTACTTCTCTTTGGGAATAATTAAAAAAAATGTTAATAAGTGCGTGAGGTATCATACAAAGTCGGCCGAATATTCAATTTTTATACTTCATCTAATACAGATAAAAATATTGGTATGGACAAAATTAGGAACTATTATATCCAATTTTATGCGATATCACAAATTCCCTATTTTCACATTGGTTGAGAAAAATATTTAGATATAGCAAATTGTAAAGAATCGCTGACTTGTTTCACAAGTTATGGCAGACAAAAGCATGGAAAATTGTGACCCTTTGTGGGAGAGGTACCTGAAGGGGTTCGCAGTTAAAAATCACCTCCCAACAGATCTTGTGTTAGCAAAAATGTTTGTATGTGTGAAATTTGAAGAGAGTTGGTTGCTTATTTCGCTTTCTTCGAGCGTTTGTTTTTCAAAATCTTGAACCCTATGTGGAGGATGTACGAAAAGAAATGGTCCCATCCCTCCCATCTTTATAAAATATCTTGTGTTGATAGAAAATTTGAGATGTAACAAGTCCGAAAGATATCGGATATTAATTTCGGTTTTTATGAGCTCCATGGATATTCAAAATTTTTGAGCCTTTGTGAGGGAGGTACCAGAAGGAGTGGACCGATATATCCCATCTTCACAACAGATCTTGTGTTAGTAGCAATAATGGGATGTGTTGAAATATAAAGAGAACCTGATGCTTATTTCACGTTTTATGACCATGAAGGTCATAAGGATATTCAAAATGATGACCCTTTGTAGGGGAGATACTGGAAGGAATTGTCCGATCTCTATCGTTTTTATAACAGATGTGCTTATGGAAATATTCAAATGTGCTAATTCTAAATGGAATCGGATGTTAATTTTGCGTTTTATGAGCTTAATGATAATTCCAAATTTCGACCTTTTGTGGGGGAGGTACCAGAAGTGGGGAACCAATATATTCCATCTTCACATCAGATCTTGAGTTTATAAAAATATTTGGATGTGTGGAATTTGAAGACAATCGGAAGACATCCTATTTTATAAGAGTTATAATTATTCAAAATCTTGAGCCTTTGGGAGGGAAGCACTTAATAGAGTGGACCGATATTATTCATTTTCGCTCCTGACCGAGAACAGAGGTAAATATTAAGATTTGCAAAGTTGGAGCAAAATGGGATTATTGATACCTTTCCTGTACAGAAAATATATTTTTTGAAAATTTCGATCTTTTGTGGGGGAGTGGACCTATATATTCCATTTTAACGTCAGACCTTGGGTTAAAAAAAATATAAAGAAGTGTGAAATTATAAGACAATCAGGCTCTTATATCAATAATATTAAATTTCTGAATTGTATCTCTACCCCTTCATCCAATACCATTTATAGTATCAATCAGTACTTTTCGTACAATTATATTACACATTTGCGAAGCGACCTCCATATGTCCAGACTACACATTGATGGCGACCCCAATTCCAAATTTCAGATTTCAAACACTATCTGTTCACCCAAAGCCATTTTGTACCAAACGTAGTACTACTTAGTACATTTCGTGCACTTGTAGTACACATTTCCAAAACCACCAAATCAATACAAACCTACAACCAATAATGACTTCAATACAAAATTTCAAAATACCAGTTTCATCCGTTCACCCCAAACCAAACTGTCCTGAATTTAGTACCATTTGTACTGTTCACACACTTAGTAGGCATTTATTAAACCACCTTCATACATAAAACTTAATTTCAAATGCTACCATTTTAAGTTCTATTTCCAAAAACTCTTTCATTCCTAATTTCAGAATGCTGTCTCCTTTTGTTTGTCCATAAATATTTTTAATTTTTTTAGTTTGAAGTATTTTGCGTAACCTTTTAGTAGGAATTTCCGAAGACCCAGCCTTATCACATGCCTACGCACCAAGACTGACCTCCGTGCAAAATTTCAAGGTTAACTTTGGCCGATTGGTTTTGGCCTTGATTCTCAGTTAGTTGATAAGTGACTACTCTTTTATATATATATATAGATTACCAATTCTAGAACGATTTGAACTCATTGCTTGATCATCTATGGTTTCCGATATTTACCACAAAATTATGAACATTGAACAAACAGCAAATATTCCTAAAAATATTTATTCTTAAAATATAAAAAATAAATATTCAATTTTGAATTTTATGATGTCGGACATGATATGCAAACATGGTAACGCTGACACTTTACGACATGTTCCAGCTGTGAGATCATTGTCTTAGATCTTGTTCAGCTATTTCGTTCTCAAGAAATGTTATCTTAGTTTTGAAATGGATGTTATGATCTAATGTAAATACATGCTATGTATTTGGATTGATGGTGGCTTAAGTAGGTCTGTGAATAGACTGGTGGCTTGATGGAGGGAAAAATGCGTGTGTGTGTGTTCTTGAGTTGTTTTTTATTCTCGAAATCATGAAATAGATATTAATCAAATATTTTGCAGTACCTGCCGTTACATTGGGAATACATAGTCATGCCTTAATATTGACATCAGGTGAACACGTGTCGAACAATTAATCGTGCATAAGCTGATCGATAAGGCATCAAAGTCTATAACTCTGGGTAACACAGGAAATAATAAAAGGAAAAACTCAGCAGATTATAAAATTAGTTTGGAAGATATGAGTATGGGCGTTTGGAAGTTTTACATCGCAAAAGAACAAAAATAGAGGAGGCAAGTTCCTCCATCTCCCACATGTTTTCAAAATTTCGAATTGAGATTTCTTCAAACCCTTTCATTTTAGGTGCATGAAGTCGTCGGAAATATTACTGATAACAAAAGGTCTTTTTTTAAGTGTGAATTAGTAAGAATTTTAACATGGCCATAACTCCTTAAATATTGAGTTTTCAGCGTTTTTAGCTATTATTTGTGATCACTTTTATAAGCACGAATTAATGAAAACTTTAAAATGGCCATAACTCCTTAAATATTGAGTTTTCGGCGCTTTTAGTTATTATTTGTGATCACTTTTATAAGCACGAATTAATGAAAACTTTAAAATGGCTATAACTAATTAAATATTGAGTTGTCGGCGTTTTTAGCTATTATTTGTGATCACTTTTTTAAGTGTGAATTAATGACAACTTTAAAATGGCCATAACTCCTTAAATATTGAGTTTTTAGCGTTTTTAGCTATTATTTGTGATCACTTTTTTAAGTGTGAATTAATGAAAACTTTAAAATGGCCATAACTCCTTAAATATTGAGTTTTCAGCGTTTTTAGCTATTATTTGTGATCACTTTTTAAGTGTGAATTAGTAAGAATTTTAAAATGGCCATAACTCCTTAAATATTGAGTTTTCAGCGTTTTTAGCTATTATTTGTGATCACTTTTTTAAGTGTGAATTAGTAGGAATTTTAAAATGGCCATAACTCCTTAAATATTGAGTTTTCTGCGTTTTTAGCTATTATTTGTTATCACTTTTTTAAGTGTGAATTAGTAAGAATTTTTAAATGGCCATAACTCCTTAAATATTGAGTTTTCAGCGTTTTTAGCTATTATTTGTGATCACTTTTTTAAGTGTGAAATAATAGGAATTTTAAAATGGCCATAACTCCTTAAATATTGAGATTTCAGCGTTTTTAGCTATTATTTGTGATCACTTTGTTAAGTGTGAATTAGTAAGAATTTTAAAATGGCCATAAATTCTTAAATATTGAGTTTTCAGCGTTTTTAGCTATTATTTGTGATCACTTTTTTTAGTGTGAATTAGTAAGAATTTTAAAATGGCCATAACTCCTTAAATATTGAGTTTTCAGCGTTTTTAGCTATTATTTGTGATCACTTTTTTAAGTATGAATTAGTAAGAATTTTAAAATGGCCATAACTCCTTAAATATTGAGTTTTCAGCGTTTTTAGCTATTATTTGTGATCACTTTTTTAAGTGTGAATTAGTAAGAATTTTAAAATGGCCATAACTCCTTAAATATTGA